ACTGCGACTTCATTGACTTCTTTATTCGATGGTAGCTTCAAATCTATTCAGTTTCCAACATGAACATGATTACCAATGTTATTCGGACATTTCTCAGAGAACTTAGTCTAGAGAAAATTTTCAGAGAACCTAGTCTGGATAAGTATTTCTCCCGTATGGAAGATTACGCTAGTCGACTCCCTGGTGATGTTAGTGAAGGATCTGGAAAACTAGTATAACTTCTTTTTTTTTTGTTCAGTGAGGGTCTCACTGTGGGGCAAGTTTGATCTGTGTAGGTTCACGGTTTTCCCTACTGTCATTCCCTTCCAAACAACAGTTTCTCTACCGAAAAATAAAAAATATAAAACGAAGTTCTGAGGCTCTAATCAGTCCTGTCTGAGGGATGCGCCCCGCATTCGACCTCCATTCAGAATTGTGCTGGCGTATCGAATGCGTATGCGACTTATAAAATGGCTTGCTATGGGCAGCCAGTGTACAATTCAATGCTTTATCCTCCCGACGAGTCTCGTACCGATTAACCGACCACGGAGGAATTGTCCTAGGCGGATATCGATCCGGGATTTTAACAGTTCTCTATTTTTTCAATTTCAAGCCCGATGAGCAAAGAACGCCTTCGAGACGTAAACACCTCGACGTCTTCGTTTTGTCCTAACGTTGTGCCTTAACACTGAAAACATCGTAATTGAAATGTCGAAACCGTGGTCGTACGGTAGCCGAAGTCGCACTTGAGATAAACCAGACTCGCGCCAGGACATTGATTGGCGCAGACTGCGTGCCATTATTGAGGTTTTCTGCGTGGGTGCGGGATGCTTTGAAAGCCAGCTCCATTCTCACGTCTTCATTCTCCTCCGTTTCTCCTTCGCATCGGTCTGACTGTTCCTTTTTCTTATTGATTCATGAATCTGAGATGTAATGCAGTTCATCTTCATCATAAATCATTCCTTGTAATGTAGGCTGTTCTCGTTCCAGCGAATCGGCGTCCTATTGATTGCGATTGCACTCTGAGCGAATACAGCATAACAGCCCAGACGCTTTCGCAACCAACCTCGAGCCTGGGAGGGCTTTAGTAGCTCTCGGGGTTTCACGGGGGAACACCTGGTTTAGAGCTGCTTTCTGTTGATTTTATATTTGATGCATTTCCCATCTCCTGATATGCAATTCCCGTCTTGTCTGTATAGGATTGGCCATCTTGATTTAATTTCACTTAATTTGACATCAAACATCGGACATGGAAAGCATAGAAGTGTGTAGTTCTGAGCTTGTCATACTTTCTCATATTGGTAAGGAAACGTAGCAGGGTTCTGCTTCTCCCTCCCTTATCCAATGTGTTTGCAGGAAGACACGGTTTTGCGATTTTGGGAGGCCAACTCTATCATATGAATTGTACAGAAGATCTTTCCGAGGTCAAACAGTCGAAAAGTTAGGGGATCCTCTTTCACAGACTGTAATGGGCCTGTAAGGATTTGATCACACGTGGCTTTTGAAAGTGCGAGTTCCGGGTGTCCCACCATGGCTAACTGGGAATATATCCACCGGGTGCTAGGTAGTGTTAAATTGTTTGGCACCCACTCATGCTAGTCACGGATCTCACGATTCTGTCTTCCCATGATTCCAGGATTATCTTGTAACAAAAAATTTTTAGAGGAAATCAGTGTAAAACACCGTTTCAGGCGTTAGTTGCGGCATAATTTTTCCGATGTCAGTCTGCATCTCTGCCGCCTTGTTCGGGCCATATTAACATTCGTTTCCGAGTTCGAAGATATCACTTTACTCAAATTCACTAGGATTAGTGCCACTGCTATCAAGTCGCTCAGAAGATAGCCCTCATCCAGTCAGATTTCTTTGATAGTAGACTATTTTCTGCTTCTTTTAGTTGAACAAACGGTCAGTTACTGTGTTCATGGAGTAGATCGTCTGGTTTCATTAAAACTGGCATATTGGTAGTCTTTTCCTCCTACTCAACTATCTCTTCCTCCTTCCCGTTACTTCTGAGAGGTGCAGGGGAAGGAGGCTTTCTTAAAAGTTGTTGCTGTTCTACACCGACGGTCTCTTCGACCCTGATTTTTCTGTGTAGTGTGACTAGCTGTTGTGTTGAAGGTCATTTGAGTGGCTTTCCATTCATATTGATCTGGCAGTTCAAACGATGAGCCACAGGTTTTATGATTTGCCACTATCACACCAAAATCGCGAACTTTATAAACCGTCTCTTTGAGTCTATTGAATTCACTTATTAGAAATATCTTGTATTTTTATAGGTTAGCAATCATGTTTATGGGAAAAGTGCTCTGCCGTGTGACTCCACGTCAATTGATGGCGTCGCGACTAATCGCCAGCTCGATGCTCCGCCGTGACGTCAAGACACCGATTCAGGAATGGGGATGGACGTACCTTCAGCGTCAGAAGGCCCTTGGACGACCTATTGCGCCACATCTCACTGTTTATAAGCCTCAACTCACTTGGATGGTTAGTACTGCAGTTTTGACTTTGCACAAGCTCCGCAGAATAGGTCTTTCTGATCGTTAGCGCTCTAAAAGTTTGTAGAAATACATTTAATTCACAAATGCATACGGCCGTGATCCTCTGTACCTTTTCTTGGCACCAAAGCATTGTTTTCGTTTTCCTTTTTTTTGATTCTTCGAAATCACTGACAGATGCCTAACAACTTTTTTTCTGTTTCACTGCATTTTACTGGCCAAATTTCAGGTTTCTGGCTTCCACCGTGTAACAGGATGTGCAATGGCTGGTACGCTGCTCATTGGAGGTGTGTACTTATAAGTTTTTTATACCTAGCTTTAAATCGTTAAGTTATTCCTTCCAGGGGTTGGTTTCGCGTTGGCGCCGTTCAACTTCACGCAGTTTGTCGACTACATCCGTAGTTGGCACATTCCACCAGTGGTCACCTCGGTTTTCAAGGTTGTTTTTTGTCAATTCCTTTACACCATACCTT